GAGAGAGAGAGAGAGAGAGAGAGAGAGAGAGAGAGAGAGAGAGAGAGAGAGAGAGAGTGATATGTGTAACATTTCTTTTAATCTGTCTACATACATTTTACGAAAAATTTATACATAATAATATTTTCACCTAAAATAAAGAATTACAACACATATACAATACAATTCTAATTAGTGATAATAGAAAATATGTTACTTATAAAACTACACACTATTAATTTCAGATTTGGAAAATAAAATTCAAGCTTCAACACACAATTTTTTTTGTGATGTTGCAATTATAAATATACACAATAACTACCTATTGATACTGAAGTTACTTTGTTCCATCTCCTCCATATAAAATATTGTGTACCGGCATTTTTTTGTGCCTGAAGCTTTACCTCAAAGACGGTGGTCTTATGATATAAAATCTATTACTTCTAAAACTTTGTATTATTAAGTCCATAATTTTAATCTGTATATATCCGCACAGGATGCGGGCCGGTCACCTAGTTTTTATTTTAAATTAAGAAGCATATTTCGTGGGAAAAAAAGCATCTATAGAAGAGCATCTTTTCTTCATCTCTTTCAAAGTTTTTTATTGGTATTTTTAAATTTGAAGAAAGGAAGAATAAACCCTAAAATCAAAATCTCCTCCTTTTACCAGAGCTGCCTCTTTCTTTTCTCCGATTCTCCTTCCGCCGAGTAATCGCCGTTACTCAATCATGAGGGGACTCAAACGCGCCGCTCTTTCCGAATCATTTTCGGAAGCCAACCAATCTCCCGTGAGTTTCTCTCTTTTTGTGTGGTTAACAAATCGGTATTGCCTAGAGAGTCTGTAATTCCTGGTAGAATATAATTTTTTTTTTTGACAATTTGGTTGATTAGTGACGTTCTAACAAGTTATCTTTAGGTTTTTGGGTGAAGAGATGAGTATAAAGTCTGCTGCATCTTCTAATCTAAGTAGTGATGAGCATTGTATAAAGAAGCTGAAGCATTTGTTTTAGTTTTTCAATTTTTTTTGTGTTTTTCATTTTTTGGAACTGAATCTGTGGCCTCACCATATTTAGTTTAAGAATGCAAAACCAGTGGAAGGAACCTTATTTGGTACTCAGCAGAGTTCGGCATCATTGGATAAACAGAGAGCCGAGTTAGCTAGGAAGCATGTCAGAGCTCTTAATAATCAATTTGTAAGGTGAATTTTTGAGATGAATAAAATTATTTATCTTTGGGGTCTTCTACAAATTTTACCTTCCATAACAGAATTCTTATGCTCCATTGTATAAATAAAAAATAAAATAAAAACAGTTGGGTGCAAATACAGCTGAAGAATCATCCTGATGAACTTTGGGAAGATGGGATGAATGACTACATTAGCCATGCTTCCAACATTCTGGTAATATTCTCCAAATAACCTGAAACATATCTTTTATTAGGATGGTTTTTTCCATTATTAGACTACCTCTTCATTTCAGTTCTCCATTTTGTCCATTATGTCTTCAGTTTTGAGTTTTGAAAGGATAAAATAGCTTCTTGTGTGATAAACCTTTTTGTTAGTTCACTACCTTGTCATTTCAATTCTCTCCTACTTACAGGAAAAGTTTAAAGATGTTGTCGACTGGCTAAAAGAAAATAAGGGAAAGGGGGATAATGAATCCCGTGGAGCAGAGAAGAAACAAGTGGCTGAAGTCAAGAATAACGACGTTAGACCAGATTCAAACTGTCTACCAGGGCTCTTCTCGACCAAACAATCTTCCGGTAGTCAGCCTGTTTCGTATCCAATCCAGACTGAAGTGTTCGGTTTACCTTCCAATACCCAAACTGAATCTTTTAGCAGTGGCCAGTTTAGTTTAGCCAAAAGCAGCCCACCTAGCTTATTTTCCAGCAATCTAGCAGGAGGAATCTCTACTAGCCAACCTCTTTTCTCATTTTCTAATAATCAAAACCATTTTTCATCTGGAGGTATCTACTGTCCCATTTGCAGAATCATTTCTTGGACTTGTCTTTGATCAGTATTGATTCTCTAGGACAATACCTCAGCACACACACCTAACTTTTTAATTTCTTTTTTTTTTTGCGGGTATTAGTTACTCCAGTGTCCTTACCAGCAAAGCTAGATTCCCCAGAAGATGCAGACGGTGGTGAGTTTATCAGTATCCTTCATGTTTCGTTACCATTCTTCTTTGTTATGCTATGAACTACTGGTACAAAACGATTCTATACCATGATTGTCGTCTTGTTCAATATGTATTTTCTAAAGTTCAACTTGCCTAGAGGAAACTATTTATTACAAATCTTGAGGCATAATGGGATTCTAAACACCGTTTTCTTTCGACTCCGCAGAAAATGAAGAACCTCAACCGAGCAGCCCATCTGTTAAAAAGACCGAAGAGAAGGGTGTTACTGTGGTTCATGAAGTCAAATGCAAACTTTATGTCAAGGTATTTGTCATCCAGAAAACTTTGATGTCATCTTTCTGCTGTATCTACAAAATTCTTCGCTTTGTTCAGTAGCTGCACTCGCTATACTCTTCTAAATACTTCTATGTTCATGAATATAACTCAAGTGAAGTAAATAACCGTGTAGAGGATATGGGCATCACGTATATAAGTAATCAACTCCATCCTCAAAGTCCTCTTAGGTGTCATAGGCTTGAAAATAACTCATTCTCTGCCTCTCTCTGTCTCTACTTTAGTTACCTTGATTTTCTGTTCTCACTGATGACCGTAGTAATAGGTTGATTATAACCTTTGTATCAATGTTACTATGCAGTCAAATGACCCATCAAATAAAGGTACATGGAAAGATAAAGGAACTGGGAATCTCTATATAAAATGCAAAGAAGGCGTCGACAAGGGGACAAAAGAATCTAAACCCACAATTCTTGTCCGAAACGATGTATGATTTCATTACACATACACACTCAAACATCGACCTTTGGTCGACAGATTCTAAACCTATTTTGTTAACTAGGTCGGGAAGCTGCTTCTTAATGCTCTACTGTACACTGGAATCAAGACGAGTGCTCAGAAGAACGCACTTGTTGCAATATTTCACTCCTCGGTAGTCAAAATCTCTGAAGCTTTTTGTTTACCATTTTCATGGTGGTTTTGTTGTTTCTCTGATTTTATCTACCTGCAACAGGAGGATTCCAACGAGAATGTGACAGCTAGAACCTTTCTGATAAGGACAAAGACAGCAGAGGCTAGGGATAAGTTAGCAACAGCCATCCAAGAATACGCACCTTCATGAAATGTCCAAAAACCTTTTTACTGTACCGCCCCTTTTTGTATCTTGTTGAGCCATCCACTATTTTTGTTCTCCTTTGATCTGTAGTACTAGGACGGCTCTCAAGATAAGGCTTGGTAAGGGCATGATAATTGTTGTATGATTGAGAGAGAGATAGAGCTCAAGTTGCTTTGTATCTTATTAGTAGAGAATGTTGTGGCAATCTTTGTAACTTAAATCCCAAACAATAAAGTTTTTTTTTTTTTCATCTGGTTTAACTATGATATAAATGGTATACTAGATCTTAGAACCTATCAAAAGGCGTATATGTTCTATCAATTTCCATTCAGCAAACAAGAATCAGAGAAGCTACATACATTACAAATCTAAATTTATACAAATGAGAGGGAAACAATAAAGGATCAGTGAAGAACTGATCCATGTCCTAGCTTTCTCCGTTTTGGTTTTGTGATCTATGAATAACGAAAGAATCCACTACTTTCACGGTAGCAACAGGGTCTTGATGCGCTGAAGATGCACACCATTTACTTGGAAACTCTCTCTTATGGCTCATCACCCCACTCTGTTTCGACTCTGCATCCCAATCTTTGTCCAGCTTCCAGTCTTTTGGCACCTAAACTCATACCATATACACATAATTGATAATTCTCATTCACAATTCCTTGAACATGAATTAAATCAACAAAAACAGTGACATGATACATAAAGAAATCACAATCATTTAAGCATCAGCACTATTACTTTTATTGCAACTGTAGAGTGGTTTTTACCTTGTCAACCGCGAGAGTGAATACTTCAATATCGTTATTCTCTTTGATGTGAAAACGGGTAAAAGATTTGTAATTGGCAATGCGGAGTGAAGAGAAAGCTTCATCAAAGTGAATGTGAAGCCAGTTGATGCAGATATACAAGTAACTTCCAAATACCAAAGACACCACAGGTGTTGAAAAGACCCAGAAGTAAAGGAAGACAGACGCATAATATATAACAGCTCCACTTCGGGAGAGCGATTCCATTCCTTGTTTGCATATGTTTGTCCGGGTAACCGCCATCACCTGATGTTGAAAGCACTCAGATCGGGTTTTCACATTGGATTTTCGGTTAAGACACAAAAACACAGTACGGTAATTACCTCAGGAACATCAAATGCTGACATTAGATACTTGATACATGCTGGATAAAGGCCAAACGTCCACTGTTCAATACGAGCTCTAAGGCCAGTAGGGTCCGGGAAATGCTCGCTTTCCACTGATTTGTACCACTGATACAATGTATGATACCCTGTTTGCACAAGTGTCACAAATTAGACATTGCTTTTTGTCATGGAAAACCAAACAACTATATATGATGAATGGAAACTGACCAGAATTTGCGAGTAGATTATGTTGAATACAGATTTCTATGCCTAGTTCCAACATCAACATGAGAATCAGAGCTGCCATCAGATGAGCAGCAACATGAAGAACTCCTATTATCACCCTTTTCTTCCGAGATATTTTTGAGGGGACAAATATGATTGCAGTGATCAGTAACACTAGGACACCCGTAAAAGACACGTAAGATTGTTCCATCACATACACAAAAGCGTTCCACACAGTGCCTAAGAAACTCTCCAGGTGACCAGAAAACGAATCACCTCGTAATATGTGGGCTAGCTTACACTGAAACGAATTGATGAACGAGAGGGAATGAGATATCAACTTTCTAGTGAGCAAGACAGTTCTCAAGGAAAAAAAAGTCTACATATATGCAATCCTTATATAAAACACCAGCTCAGCTTTCCTTGTGCATTGTTTAAATAGGACGATCGAGCTTAAAACGCACCTGAGGGAACAATGAAAAGACCAAGATAAAGTATATAATGCCACCAATGAAATCAAATTGCCAGTTCTTTTTCCGGAACTTCAAAATATTCCCCAAAGCAATCTGCAAACAGCAGAAACACCATTTAACATCAGAACGCATAGTAACGAAGGCAAGCCAGCGACAAGAAACTGGAGAATAAAATTTTACCTTGCTTGAATCATGAAAAGAAGGGTAGGCAGACTTGCTTGCATAGGAAGCACCATAGTACTTTGAAAATTTGCTGAACACATGGGTGGGATGGAGAAAAGCTCCTCCACAGCCATTAACAAGAAGATGTTGGACATGGGCAGGAGGACCATCTGACTGAGTACATGAATGTCGCATATAGTGATGCAGATCCCCTGCCATTCTTAGTTTACACCTGTATTTCAAAACGTCGCAAATCAGATACCTCACGTTCTTCCCTGTATCACTGCTCCAGTACCAATCAAGAAGCCAACTTGGTTCGTGTGTGATAATGATCACTGCATCATCCTCCTTAACCTAAATGAGAAAATATTTATAATTCAAAAAATGAACACTGAATAATCTGAAAAGACAAAACCACTAAAGTATAGCATGAACCCTTCGTTAGAAGTACTGCAGATACTAAAGAAAGTCGCTCACAAAATAATGGTAAAAATATGAGAAAGTAATAAAATTACCTTCCCCTTCTTCACCAATTCGGCAAAGAATTTGAACTGGTCAACATCAATATCACCATGTAGTGCAAGATCCAAACCAAACACCCACCACCCCTTAGGTAGCTGCAATGCAAAATAGCTTTTCTTCTGGGGCATTAACCAGCCGCCTAACCAACTCTTGTGGCATATATACCTCATGAATGTATTAAGTCCATCAAACCAGTCTACGGAATAATAAACAAAAATGCTATAGTCAGAGGAAATGGCAGAACAAACCAAAGTAGCTGTGTGAATTTTTTTATTTAAAAGGTAAAAAGAAGATGAGGCCTGGAACTCACCATGGTTTCCAGGGATGAGAAAACATTGAGGACCATCATAATCCTTTAGATCTTTCACTCCCTCGGGTAATTCAGGCTTGTCAACAGCAATAGAGTCATTTTTATACCAATGGGGAGGCTGGAGTGCATACTCAAAAGGACAAAAGAGACGTTTTTCATATGTAAACGCTGATGGATTGGGGTACCTGGGGTATATCATCCAAAGACATCAGCAGTTACATTTTAGAACTGTCAAAAGCTACAGATATGTTAGAATATAGAGCACTTACGCAAGATCTCCTCCAATAAGCAGTACATTACCCCGAGGTAACGCTTGGGCTTCACCATCCACCGAGACTTCGAGAGTAGGCTGAGCAAGAAGTTTCGCTACAGCATATGACGAATTCCCACCATCACCAGTATCCGCCATGAAATCAAACCAAAAATTTTCCTTATTAACAAGGTGGTCATATAAAAGTTCTTCCCTCTTGGTTCCATCACAAGATTTGGTCATTGCAGCCTAAACATTTTTCAAAAAGGAAAGAAGAAAAAACATTAAAAGGTCTGGACGCAGAAGGAAGAATGAAATCATCACATCATATCATAAACAAAAGAAGAATACCTGCAGCATCCGCATGTCAAAGCGGCCAAGAAATACCGTCACCGATACGAGGAGGTCAAACACAGTTTTAAACAAATCAGCCGATGTTCTGAAATATAATAAAAAAGAGAAATCAGCACCTGGTTAGTCACGTGTCTCGCTTTCAGCGTTTACTGGCCTCAATAAAAACAATCCTAAGCAATAAAGGGAAACATTAGTTTGGCATTGACGTACCCTGAATACCAAGGAACCATATCTAAGAAATTTGGTTTCATTTGCTCCTTCTTCAGCTTCTCAACTTTATCGACTGACAGAGGGTGTGTCAGAGCCCACCTAAACAACATAACAAAACTTTGAGATAAAACAAGCCATGTGAATGTAAGACCAAAGTTGTTCATATGGAGATATGCAACTTACCCTGTTGATCTCTCCACTACATAATTGGCAATGTAAAGACCAATAAATGTGGCCCACAACGAGTATATGGGAGAAATTTCGCTAGATGAATCAGGACACGAGCCATTGCACGCCATCTGAAAATAACAAGGTAAGAACAGGATATAAAACATGTTCACAGCTCACTATAACAATTTAAAAAGAGATACCTCTCCGTAAATGAACCATTTGGATAACAATGGATAATCACTTGCAGATCCAACTGGAGCAAACCATGACGAGCACACTTGGTCTTTCAGCTCATTCATACAAATGAATTGTGCAATCCAGGTATTGTGCCTATGTTCCTTTTTCCAGAAAGAAAACAAGCTAGAAAACTGTCGTCCAGGAGGTTTTTGCCTCAGAATAGCTCGATTACCACAATGGCTGTAAAAGATACAGCAAGCCATGCTAAGCACCTGCAAGGATGAAAGACACGCAGTCAATAAATTTTATACAAAAACAATATCGAAACTCTGAAGTGGATTGATGGTGAACTTACAGCGCAATTTTGAAGAATGGTTAAGATCTCTGGGCGTCTTCCAGCCACGCGAGAAACAAGACCAACATACCAAAGGGCAAGAAAAATGATGTGGAAGACAACAAGGAAGACTATAGATGATATGTAAATTGTCAAAAACAAGGACAAATTCATCCTCAAATCCAAACCCATTGACTGAAAGTTAGGAAGGTGATACAAAGCTGCAACTAAAATCCAGGCAATGTACCTACACAATTAACAACAGAAAAACTTTAAATGCTAAATATAGCATACTCAAATAGTCAGGAAGACAGAAAGAGCAGTTGTTTACCATCGACTGAAGTTGGAGTAATTAGGTCTGATAGTCTTGCCAATAAATGGAGAAGAAAAGAAGTAGAAAAATCCGAGCAAGCAAGCATACATGGACCACCACTTGAGTGAAAACTTTTCTATGAGGGTGTGCATGTTATCGGAAGAAATAAAGAATAGGCAGCCGAGAAAGACAGCAATGATAGCATGACGTGAATGCTCATGCGGGTAAGGGTAAGTATGGGTTAGAATCGTCCTGACCCTCTCCATTTTGAGGGTATTCAACAAACGAGCCGAATGTTTTTCAGAGCCCATATCATGTGGTTCTTGATGAAAGCTCAAATCTTGGCAGAGCAAATAATGGTTATCAAATGACTTTGAGGCGAGGCGTTTCCTAGCAGTTCAAGCAGTCAAAACCCTTTCGCCTAGTAAAAAAGAAAAGAAGAAGAAGATATTAAGCACAGTGTGATCCACTAGTGTAACAGTATCCCTGAACTATGTTTTCATAAAGCAGTCACAAGTTATTGGAATTCCGACTAGGATATTCGATGACATCAAATTTCACTTGGGGGAGAATCTAAAACTGCATTCTGATACAAAACAACCCTTGATCCCTGAATCCCAACAACTAGGTGAAACACCTATCATACAGAGAATAAACTAAGCTAACAACATATCATCATAAAGCAATTTAAAGTTGCTAGCCAAGAACTAAAGTTTCCTCTCGTTCTCGTACACAAAAGATGTAATCAATCAACACACAAACAACCTAAATCTATTAAATTTCCTCAGTTTCCATCTTAAAGTAGCATAAAAAAAAAGAGACAGTGGAAGCAGTTAAACTAAGAATCTGTGACTAACTGCAAATGAAACAAAGCTAAAGCCAAAGAACAAACCAAAAAAACATTAGATGATCTTTAGTTCCATAGTAAAGACAACAGAACATATCCAAATTTCGAAAGCAATCAGAACTGAAACACCAAAGGAAGCCTTTTTAATTCAGAGAAACGAAGCTAAAATCGATACCTATGGCAAGCAAGTCGTGATTTTGGGTCCGAGCAGCAACGAATCTCGAAACCCGTTTGGAGCAAAAAAATCGAAATTATGGGATTGACTCAGTCAAAATCAATATTGGCAGAGCTTACCCCCAAAATACACACACAATAACAACCCTAATTTGAAAAAAAAAAAAAAAAGGAAAGCTTTTTTGGAAGTTTTACAAAAGAATGATCTGTGTCTCTGTGATGAGTCAAAGCGTAGAACGAGTCACGTGGCGCTGCTTCGTTGAGCAACTTTTTTTTGTATGTTCTTTCTTTTTAGTGAAGAGAGAGGGGGAGAGAAGAGGAATTATATGTAAGAGGCGGTTACCAAAATGAATAAATACATGAAAATATAAAAAAAAATTAAAATGGATTGGAGGGAGTCAACGAATTATTCCATTTCTTGCTACCTTCAAACAATGTCCGAATCTTTTCTGAGGAATTCAATGACAGATTATTTTGCGTGTACATTTTTGTAAAACTTGTAGTCGAAGTAATGTATCTATTAATTGTTTTTAATCTGATATTGTATTTTAAAATAATAAACTAAGAGGACTTCTATTTTTACACAACTCTTGGTGGAAAATCCTTTAGAGAACCTTTAATAATAGAGTTTCGGAAACTAAAAAGTCTCTATTAGTTTATTTTATGGGAAATTTGCCAAAAGCGGACTAAAACAAACAACTATTGTCCCCTTATAATAAATTTCATGATTTATGTCCCCTTAGAATAAACATTAATGAAAATCCAATTTAGCCTTTAGTATTTAATTTTTTTAAATTTTTGAATAGAATTAATAAAAAAATATAAATACTAATTAAAAAGGTAAAAATACATATACTAATACCCATACAAAATCGGTATACATATGTTTAGTCAAAAGGGGTCAAAATCCCTAAATAAAAAAATCCAACTCCCCTCGTGCTCTCTCCGGCTCCGATTCCCGTCTGTTCTCCAGCGTGTTCTCTCCGGCGAATCCTTCCCTTTTCCTCCTTCCTTCTTCCTCCTTCCTCTTTCTTCTGGTATTTTCTTTTACATCCTCTCTTCTTTTTATCTCGGTTCATCTTTTTCGAAAATCGAAGGTTAAATTTTGGGATCCCTTTCGATGTGCATGTATTAGAAAAACAGTGGGATAGCTTAGAAACTCAACAATTATCAACTCTCTTCAACTATGAACCGAGATGAAAACTGAGACCCCTTTTGATATTGATTTGTTTTACATGTTATTTTTGTGATTCATTTGTGTTCAATTTACATGTGATTTTTGTGATTCTTTTGTGATGCTCAATGCTTTCTTCGAAAATGCGTTTTGGATACTCAGAGTACGATTTTTGTGATTCTTTTGTGTTCAATTTAACAAGTAAACCGATCAATTACATGTGCGTCAACTTCGTTACTCGTTCTTTGTGTTTTTGTGATTCTTTTGTGTTCAATTTAACGTGTAAACCGATCAATTACTGACTATCATGTTATTTGATCTCATTGTTTACAGGCATGGCTTTGGAGTATCCAAAACGCATTTTCGAAGAAGGCATTGAGCATCAGATTGCTAAGATTAACAACACCTGTAGACGTACAATTCTTAATATACTGAAGGTTGCTCTCAAGGATGAGTACGAGGAAGTGCAGAAAGACCCTGTCTTTGGTCCGCTTCTGGCCATCAATGATAACAAGCTCATCTACTCAGGGAAGATTGTTCACAGCTTCATATGCAAGCAGTTGAAGGTTTCTAAGCTTCACGAGCTGTGGTTTCTGTTTGCAAAGAGGCCTCTTAGGTTTTCAATGCAAGAGTTTTATGCTGTGAGTGGACTCAAGTACAAAGAGGAACCAGATATGGACTTTGATAGTTGGAAGAATGATAAGGGGTTCTGGAGCACGGTGCTGAAGCAAAAAGAGAAGATCAACTTAATGTGTGTAAAGAAGGAACTCCTCAAAGTTTGCAACAAATGGACGTACGTGGACAGGGTGAGGCTAGTGTATCTCAGTGTTATCCATGGATTCGTCATTGCGAAGGATGAGAGAGTGCATATCCCTCACGAATACATTCGTTTGGTGATGGATTTCGAGAAAATGAGGAAGTATCCTTGGGGTCTTTATGCGTATGACGAGTTGCTTGCATCAATAGTCAAAGCAAGGGCCGAGTTACATATGAAGAACAATTACGTGCTGGATGGATTTTCTTATGCGTTTCAGATTTGGGTTATGGAGGCAATCCCGGACATTGGTATTATGGTGGGTAAGAAGCTCAAACAAAATGTCACCGCAGTAAGATGCATGAATTGGAAAGGAAGTGGTAAGGTATCTTATCAAGATATCACTAGTCTAGAGTCCCATTTTGATAAGGTAACTTTTTCTTTTTATTTTGATTATTCAGTTTAGTTATCAAACAAATGCTCACTGCTTGTGGTTGTTCTTGTCAGGGAGTGGTCTTCCCATTTATAGATCCTACTGGGAACTCGGAAGTGATTAATGATGCTGATTATATAAGAGAAGATGAGAAGAATGATGAAAGAGTTGGTCGTGTTGTTGATCTGCTAAATAAGAATCAAGACTGGACCCAGTTCACTTGGCAACTTGAGCCGAAGCCTCAGAATTTCATGTTATCAGATGAAGAAGAGCTTGATGAAGACGAAGCTGCCCCAGTATCACCTGTGAGGGAACCACCTGTTGATGCAAGAAGGGGGAAGCGCAAGATAAATGATCCTGGTTCCGAGTCTAGAAAGAAGAACATGCTTTGTCAAAGAGCGGCTGAGCATAACAGCGGTGTATCAAGTGAAATGAAGAGTTTCATCGAAGGTTTGTTGACCTCTTCTTTCAGCTCTTTAAAGGAAGTGTTGCAGAAGGACATACAAGAGCAATTTCAGAAGGTCAACAATGAGATAGATCACCTGAGGGAACAAATGTTTCACCTTACTGGTCCTTCAGATACAGTGGGAAAGGGTGAAGGCAAAGCAGCTGAGACTCCAGGTTCAGGCAAAGCAGTTGAGACTCCAGGTTCAGGCAAAGCAGTTGAGACTCCAGGTTCAGGCAAAGCCTCTGATATTCCGGGTTCAAGCTTATCGGCTCAGACTATGGTTTCTCCAGTAGCAAAGGAAATAAGCAAAGGCAAGCAGGAAAGAAGCAAGGATCCTCCTACGGTTCGTCGCAGCCCTCGGCCAGGAAGAAAGGTAACCAGAAAATGAGACAAAGAAAAATGTGGTTGGAGTCTTTATTGCAAGTTATGTATTTGACTTCTTTGTAATGTGTATGTTTTTCTATGTGGCATATCGGCTTGTAAGTTGAATGTTTTGTAAAACTTATATATTAATGTGATGTTTGTTGTTATAATCAGGATGATCAAAATAAGCTGAAGGATTTTTTGGAGAATTTGTCACAATCATCAAAAAGCAAAAAAGAATTGGGGACACAAGAGGATTTACAAGAGGCTCTGGGTCACCTTTCCCAAGCATCCCAAGTTAAAGGTTTTGATCCCTCGCAACAGCTCAATGACGAAGAACCTATTGAATACGTGACTCCATTATCTACATTCAAGCCTGCGGATTGGATACCACCAACACTCAAAGATATAGAACTGGCTGAAGACCGGGTGGATGATGAGGATTACTCTTTAGTGTTTGTCCTTGAGGACTCATGGGATAAACTGATTGCTTGGACCTCAAGTAATATGTAAGTTTATGTTTTTTTCTCAAAATTTTCACATCTATCACATTTTTATTTAATTTAATTTTGTTTCCCAGGCTTCTCAAGATTGGACCTTCAGTGTGCTCACCTGAGCTAATATCACGTGTAATAGGACCTGAAATATGGTTGAAGAATTTTGTGAGTTTTTCTTCGACCTTACATGTTCTTAAATTCCTCATTGTGCTTAATTGACACTCGTTGAAAATTGCAGGAAATTGATGCTATGCTATACGTCTTCCGTGAGAGGACTTCGTTGCGTAGGTGGAACGTAAAGAAAGTCGCATTCGTGAGTTGCATATTCGGTAATCAAATCAAGACATCTTACTTACAATTTAAGAAGGATAAGAGAAATTTCAAGATACCTGGAGTGCTGAATGAATACGGCATTGGTGAACTTCCACCACACGGAAGAACAAGACTTATGTGGGATCTTGATGTTGATCGCATGTATATACCTCTCAATGTGGGCGATGCGCACTGGATCTCTATGTGCGTCAACTTCGCTACTCGTTCTATTGAGGTCTTTGACTGTGAGGGACTGCAATACAAGAGAGAAGTGGAGCCATTTGCCGTTCTCATCCCTAGAATTGTTAAAGCTGTGCAGTCAAGCGTTCATGGCAGGAGAAATTGAAGATCTGCGTGTTTCGATGAAGATGGTGGAAGAAGAAGTTATGAAGCATAAAGCCTCTCGAGATGTCGGTTGTGTAGGAACCATTCTCAGTATGTTATGTCTCTGTTCAAAATTTAATTGATATTTTGTAATGTTTTTCTATTTATATCTACATTGAATAAGAACAAGTAATGGATTTGTAGTGTTATTGACATGATCCCAAGACATCTAAATTCAATATAAATAAAAAACACTGCTAAAATCAAGATCATAAAAATGAAAGATAACTTGCAGAAAAACAAAAAAAAACAGAGGTTTATGCCTAAAAAGCATTCAAAAACAGAGGTTTAAATGAAAGAAGAGAGTTCAACATGAAAGGACTTCATTCCTATATTGCTCTAATGCATCTTGTCCTGTTGTGACCTTCAATGCCACATCGACTGCATTTACGACGTTTAGAGCCTTGGGTTCCTTGTGACGAACGGATCTTATCTTCAGCCGTCACGTATCTGCGTTTTCTTCTCCTACCTGCAGCTTGTCTAGTTGATGGAGGAAGGATTGTTGACTGGGCGATGTCAGATGGGACACTCCATGCATCTTCTGGAACACTAATAGGATTTATACTTTCTTCATAGACCGATTTCCATGAGGCGATGGTGTACACGTCGTCAGTGAGTGTGTGTGGTTGTATCCCAACACTGAAACCTGCTTTTATAGCGTGCCTGCATGAGATTTTCATCAAATCGAACTTCCCACAACTACATGAGCGTGTAACCAAGTCAACCATGCAATCAAATGTGTCACCTTGAACCAAAAAGCTATCGTCAGTAATTGGATACACTCTAAACTTCTTACCCTTCTCAATCCTCCGGTCAATCTTCTTCTCCACAGCAATGGTCAGTGGCTGCGGATGCTTAGCACTTAAAGTTCTACGCTGAAAAAACCATCGACTCATCATCTCCCTTATGCTGTCCAACAAAGGTATAACCGGAAACTCTCTTGGCGAACGAAGAGCAGCATTTATGGATTCAGCAGGGTTAGTGGTCCTAATATCATACCTGTAACCCGTAAAAGCACAACGAGCCCACTTTGTCACATCTGCTTCTATTAGGTAGTTGCCTATTAGAGGATCAATGGACCAAATAACACTGAAAATCTTCTGAAAATCAGCAACTCGATAGGCTTTAGAAGCCTTTGCAACCAAACCAGCGACGCCTTTTCCCTTGTAACTTGTTACTACATTGTTGATCAAGTGATGAATGCAAATTCCATGATGAGATTGCGGATACACGTCCACAAGAGCTTTGCCAATTGACATGTTCCTATCAGATACAAAAGCTAAACTGTGATCATCAGCAACGACAACTTTAAGCTGTCTCATAAACCAGTCCCATGAGCGGTGATTCTCGGAGTCGACAACTCCAAATGCAATAGGATATATATTTGAGTTTCCATCCAAAGCAGTAGCAACCAATAATACTCCTTTGTATTTGCTTTTCAAAAAAGTTCCATCCAAAACAATAACTTTCCGAATGGCAGCATGAAAACCACGAAGTGACTGACCAAATGAGATGAAGAGGAATTTAAATCTCCCATTGGTATCGGTTTCATAAGCCGTGTGTGTTCCTAGATTAGCTTCCTTCATCATGTGAAAGTATTTGGGAATTTTAGCGTAACCTTGCTCAGGAATACCTCTTACTATGTCTATTGCGTACTCACGGGCATCCCATGCTAAAGAATATGATATCTCAACTCCATGCTCATCACGCATATAGCTGATGATGTCATTAGGTTTCGGACCTTCCTTAGTGCTTTCATACTTGTGCATTACGAGGGAACCAACAGTTTTTGCTGAAGCTGTGCGGACAGAATTGCTCCTTGATGATGGCGCACATGTATGATAAGGTACATACTTTCTGATAATAAAATATGAAGACCCTGTTAATCCTTCTGCACGAACACGCCATGTGCAATCATCATCTGCACAACGAATATACCAAACTTTTGTATCTGATTTGACAAGCTTATAGTCGAAATTGTGTTTCATTGCGCAGATTTCTAGTGTCTCCTTCAAAGCCAATTTGCTTGTAAAATGCTGACCCTTCTTCACAACACCAAGCAAAGAAAATCGGACAGGCTTTCCATTGATCATGTGTTGGTCATCCTTTTCCTCTAGGTTATCATCTTCTTCTTCAACCATGGTTTGATCATCAATAACGTGCACCACACGCTCATCCTCTCTCTTAGGCGACTCAGTAGTCCATTCTTCATTCAAGTCAAATTCGACATTGATATTCCTTGTATCCACCTTAGATCGAACACACACACATAACCGCGTAGAAGCTCTGATCTTCAGATATGTTAGAAAGTTTTTGAGTTGCCTATCATTGGTGATGAAAACAGGTGGCGAGTTGATGCTATTCATCAAATCTGAAGGTAAGTAACTGAACTCGATATTGACCATGTCTAGATCAATTCCAAAATCTTCACACACGATCAACTTCAGGTGTTCAAAAGATGCACTTGTGTCCACAGTTTGTAACCTACCTCCTTTTCCTTCATCAACAACAAATCGCCATCCATTGCTTACAGACGAGTTCCACGAACCACATGAAGTATACATGTGCATCTTCATTGTTAGATAGCTTGGAAGTGGAAGAACTAGAAGATTAGAAGAGGTTTTTTCACGGTGAGAAGAAGAAGAAGACCCACGTTCAAGGCAAAATATATTAAAAAGGAAATAAAAATATTTAGAGAATATTTACTTTCAGATTTTGCTAGATTTTCGCTAGATTTTCGGATGGTGGCCATACACCGTTGGTAGAATATACATTCTACCAAATTTTCCATTAGTTTAACCCGTGGAAACGGTAATCCCACGAGCGTAGACAAAACATTAAAACTAAGAAGATATGTTCTGCCAAGGTAGACGGTTGAGTCTTTATTATATGCTATGTTCTACCGAAACTGCATAACAAAGAAGGAATGTCAGTTATCATATTCTACAGTCGTAGATGTATATGTTTTTAGTGTATTACGCATTCTAAGGCCTTTAGATGGATTAGTTGTTAGTAGATTGTACATTCTAAACTGCCGTAGATGGTAGATCTGATTTACTACCGTATTTATCCAAGTTTTGAGATTACTATTCCAAACATTCTTTGAATGTAAAAATATTTTTCATATATTCACATGCTACTCTATTTCATATTGTATATTTTTCCTCAATTTTTTACCTTGTAAATTTTTTACTATGAATTTTTATATACAAAAGGGTAGTGAAGGTCCAAAAGTGCCAAAATTTGATTTTATTCTAAGAGGACAATAGTTGTGTTTTTCGGTCCCCTTTTGGCAAATTTCCCTTATTTTATTTTGGTTAAGCGTATGTTCTGTTGGTTCATAAAGAAGACTAACTAAAAAGAAAAGCATATCACGTAAGAGAAAAAAAAAACAATTTCTATTGGGTTTCATTGTTTCAATTTTTTTTTCTAACGCTAATTTATTATAATACTAGGGAAAACCCGCGCTTCGCGCGGGATGGTTTACATAGTTGTTAGTTTATTTGTTTATGTTTAAGTTTGTAATATGGTTATGTAGCGTTTTTTTCTTCTATAAAGTTGTTTGCTAGATTTTGTGTGCCTATGTAACACTTTTTTTTAAGTAAGAGGGTGGTGAATTTTTTATTTTTTGGATTTTGTCAAGTTTATATATTAACATTTAATTGACAACTTTAAATTTGTATTTTTGATTGTAAAGAAATTAAAATAGTGTTTGTAATTTTGTCCTGAAATTAGGGAAAGTATACACCAACTACGGGTTCCATCTATTGATCAAATTATATAAATAAATTATTATTTGTTTGTAGTAGCAGTATGAATCACACTGGTTCGA